AACATCAAAAGAATTATTTTCAAATTTACTTTCAGTTGATAATCGTTTTTTAAATCCATTAAATGAAATGAAGAAAAAATTTGGAAGTAGTATTGTTGAACAAATTGAACGTGAAAATAACCTTACAACTCAATCAGCATCAGCTACTGTTCTTGCTCAACGGTAAATATTGTTTTTATTTATTTTAATAATTAAACTTTTTTTTTTAAATTATAGTCGTCGTGCATATCCTATGCTACAACAACGTCCAACAACTCGATTAGCTAAACAAAATGCATTTATAGTTCCTAAATTAGGATGGCCATCATATTTTAAATTTGGTAAGGTGTCGACAATCCGAAATTTTAGCCAACTTGTTTTTGTTATGGTTGGATAGAACTCGTTGAGTTACTTAGAAAAATGTTCTGTTCTGACGTATTCAGATGAGTTGTTTGTAATGAAAATTAAATTTTAAAAGATTTTAAAAAAGCCTATAAACATTGAAATATGACACAAAAATCAAATCTCAGTTGTCTCAATATTTATCAAAATTCTTTTATTATTTTACTCGCTATTTGATTAGAAAAATAAAATTATGCATGTTTTTTTTTTTAAGTTATTCTTTGATCGTTGAGAAAATTGGTTGTATTTGGATATGATAGAAAAATCCCGTAAATACGGATCTGTTTTCAGAGATATTGAGAATCAGCAGAGAAATCCGGATTGAATACTATACTCAATAATTAAAATAAAATTAATTTTCATCGAATTCCTAGCTGAAAAGAAGCATAGGTCATGGTGTTTGAAAATAACAGTAAAGGAATGTGAGGATCGAAATGTGACGAGAACTTATTTTAAGCAATGAGTATATTATTCGATATAGATTTCTCTGATGATTCTGAATATAATATATTTCATTTCAAAATGAAGTTTTGATGGTCGAAACCGATTTTTTTCAACAATCATACATTATCTTTCAAAAAGACATGCATAGGTTTTTTCTTAACCATATGGCAAGTAAAATAAAAAAAAGCTGTTAGCTCAGTTCCTACGAGATTAATATGGGAAACACGATGCAGCTGCTCTTGCTAATTATAAAGAGATTTTTTTACTCTACCTACTTTGTGATACATTTCTTCATCATCCTTCTATTTACTCATCTAGAAATGCAATCAAAATGTTATTCAGAAGTTATAGCAAGACATTACTGACACGCGGTCAAAGACTCTATATCAAGAACGTCTATCGTGTTCTATGGGAGAGGAGGGATGTAGATAAAAAATTTCTACTTTGCATACTGCAATACTCCGTTCAGATCGTATTTCATTAAGATTTGGATAAATATTGAGATTACAAAGACCTGGTTCTTTTGACTTATTGCAATTTTTATAGGCTTGTCTATTTTTTTAATCTAATTTTCATTGTAAAAACATCATTTGAATATAGCAAAAAAAAAACTTTGCTCAAATTTCTATTGCCAACACGTTATATTTTCCTAATCGGATAAAAAAAAAACACTATTTATTAAAAATAGGTTTATCAATGAAACCATCATCTCCTTTATCTGAAACAGCATTAACTAATGGAAATTATTTTCAATTTGAATATGATAAAGATTATCAACGATTACAAATTCAATTTTTTGATTCTGTTGATCAACATAATCTACAAGGAATTATGGTTTGTTGTAAATTTCTTTTTAGAAAAAAAACCATACACAAAACTTGAACTAAATTTTAAATAGGATATTCTTCGTCAGTATCCATATCATATTGATGCACTTTTTCATTTAAGCGATGTCAGTCGAATGCAAGATGATACACCTACAGCTGTTGATCTGATTGGTATAATAATAATAATTTATTTCATTTTTTTCTAATACAAAAAAAAACAATCCATGTTTATTTATATTAAAATAGAACGTGCTTTATACAGTTTTCAACAATCATTTCATCCACTTTTTTCAATAATACGTGGTGAATGTCGTCTAGAATATCGAATACAAGCAAATCGATCTTTTTTTATTTGTTTATTTAAACATATTATTTATATTGGTGAACGAGGTTGTACAAGAACAGCATTAGAATTTTGTAAAGTACTTTTAAGGTAAAATTTAAATTATTCATAAATTAAAAACAAAAAAAAACATGCTTTTTTTTGTCATTAAATTTGTTTAGTCTCGATCCAATTGATGATCCACTTGCAATTCTTCTTCTTCTTGATTATTATGCAATACGTTGTGAAGATTATAACTATTTAATACGTTTTTATACCGAACAAAATCAACGATTAAATCTTGATGGTTTACCAAATTTTGTTTATTCCATTGCACTTGCATATTTTCGTTTATCATCATTTGATAAAGCAAATGAAATTTTACAAGATGCTTTAATTCGTTTTCCATCTATACTTAAATATTTACTTGATAAATTATCAATAAAACCAGATAGAGCAGTAGAAAAATGTCGATATTTTTCTGATAGTGCAAAATATGAAACAAATGCACTTCAATGTGTGCAGCAATTATATGTTGTACGAATGTCAAATGAATGGAAAGAAAAAGATGAATTAGAATTTTTAAGAAATAATGTTAATCAAGTTATTCATATTATTGAAATAAATCAAGATTCAAGAATTGTTAATTATACAAAATTGTAAATTGCAATTTATTTATTTGAAAATAATAAGATTAATATAAATTTTATTCTATTTTAGACGAGAAACATGTTATCGTAGAACACCGGTTAATGTTTGTCGACATATTATTTTATCAGAATCAAATGAAATTCGAGGATTTTTACCTAATGTAAATATTTATAAGAAAATCAAATGCTTGTGTAAGTTTATTTTTAATTGTTATAGGATATGAACAATGATGGTAGATTTTATAATGTTGATCCATTCCCTCCGAATGATTCAATTGCCAGTTTTCAAAGACCAGAAAGGTAAGCTTCAATCATTTTTTTATTTTTAAATAAGAACATGAATTAAGATATACAAATTGTATGCTATTCGTCATTGTTTGTTATATCAAATTTCGTACCTTTGAATAGAAAAAAATGAAGACTAAGATTAAGCCAAAAGTATATAGAACGTTCAAGATATACACTAGTTTATTGTAGACTATAGTGATGCTATACAATAGTCTCTAAACAACCTTAGAAGCTCTGATGAATTATCAAAAAGTTGAAGAACATTTTCATTTTTGAAGATTGATTACCAGTCAATATTTATAAATATACGAAAAAAGTTGATAGAAACAATTCTTCATCATTCACTAAGGTTTCCAAAGTAGCTTCTTGTTTTAAGCTGGACAATAAAATATTGTTGATAAACTTCGATATGATCAAAATACCATGAAGAATATCAAATGTATTTTGATCAGCTCTTTGCCACATGTAATTATTAATGTAACATTCGAACTTAGTTCAATTGAAATGCTAATAGTGTTTCCTATTTGCCGAATTAGGATTTAACAATTTTTGATAGTTAAGTGCACAACACTATGAATAATAATATCTTTTATATCTCGGATCACGATCAATAGTTTTACTCTTACCATTTATAATCAAAAAAACCTAGTAAAAACTGTAATAAATAATAGAGTACTATCACTGTAAACAACCAATAAGTATTCATCAATATGAGTTTGCCATCGACCTTCTAGAACAAAAAAATTTTCTCATTAAACGGTACTCAACTTTTTTGATTTTTCATCAGTGCTTTTAAATGTTTACCTTGAAACTATTGTCATATCATCACATACATAAGCAATTCTTGTTATTTTTTAATAAAATCAGTCGGAAAACTTTATAAACACCGCACATATTATAATCATCAAGACGTTTTTCTTCATAATTTTCAATAAGGTCCAGGCGATAAATAGTATTGATTTGAGTAAAATATAAAGAATTAATGATTCATTCATGTACTCATTGTAAATCTGAAATTGTCTAAATGTAGAAAACACACATCTACATATAGATATTGCTAATCACAAGAGATATGTTGAAGTAAAGTTTTTCACGTTCAATTCTTCATAACAAGATCGGGAATCGTCATTTTAGACAATACTAATTCGGGGCATAATTATTGTTCATATTTTACGTAGAATTTCTATTCTATCTTATATTTTGCATCGAACAATAAAACAAAATAAATTTCATAATTGTTATTTGTTTTAGGCAGCCTATGGAAATTAATAGCTCGTACAATGGAATTGGTATGCTACTCCGTTCGTTACTACCAAATTTTCATTTAGAAGTAAGAAAAAGAAAATGAAACTATACCTAGGTATTAATTATTATTTTTTCACCTTTGAAGAATTTTCTTGTGGCTCGTGATGCTCAAGCGGGTGCTGTTGGCGGTGGTGGTGGTGCAGAAGAAAATGATGCTGGTATGCTACAAGCTCTACAAGAAAGTATTCGTGATTTCATACGTGACATTGGTATAACTAATATTGGTGAAGATCAAATTCAACAACCTCCAGCTGATGACGATAATGATGAAAATAATAATGAGTTTGATTGAATTATGGTTGTTTATAAAAAATATATAATTACAAAAGAAAAAAGAAAAAAAATATTTTAACCAAATATAAGAACGAGATAAGAAAAAACGAATAAAATCATTTTTTCGAATATAACCGAGTTGAAGAGTTAGTTGAGTATCATGTTTATTATGGTGGAGAATAAGACCAGGATTTGTACATGAATAATATTGATTTACATGTTGAAGAAGAATGTCAACAAAGATTAGGAGACTAAGCCTAGACAGAATTTCATAAGATATACTTTTCTTAAGATATTGCCAACAACTAGAGGAATTATTGCTACCTGATTGCATTTGAACAAATGCTATGAGGAATTCGTCGAATGTCAGGACGCCTAGAAAAACAAAACGAAATACAATTTTATTAATAGCTTTTTTCTTGTTTTTCTCTTGCTCTTACCGTTACGATCAGTATCGAACATCAAAAAAGCTCCTATGAATAATCATCCAAAGACCAGAAAAAAAAACAACTATAAACAAGAAAACAAAACGAAACAAAACGTACGCTCTGCAGCCATATCTAAATTGTACACATCCGCACATGGATTTGTTTCAAGATAAACCATTTTGAATGTATTAATTTTCATTCTATATCATAATAAAAAAAATTTTCTAAAAATAAAAATCTGTTTCATTTTCTTTACCGCCCTTTTTTGTCTGCTCGATCCATAAATGCTTCATAGACTTGTTGAATAACAAATGGTTGTAATTGAGTTATTTGACTGCTACGTTGTACATCGCTAGCTGATAAACCTTTGTTTTTACTTAACTTTTTGCCCATTTCTTTAGTCTGTTATTTTTTCTTGCAAATGAATATGAAACTATTCATGACGTACGTTTCGCTTCAAAGAACATGTAATTAATAATAATTTTTTTGTTGACCTTGATTGATGTTGATGAGGGTTTATTTTTGTTGAAAGAAAAAGAAAAAAAAAGATATATATATAAATTTTAATTTTTTTCAGATTTTTTCCAAAATTCATAAAAGAAAATAATATGTTTAGATAATAATGATAAAAGCAATACTTGTATTTAATAACTCAGCTAAACCAAGATTAATAAAATTTTTCGAACATTTTCCAGAAGAAGTTCAACAGCAAATTGTTCGAGAAATTTTTCAGTTAGTATCAAAACGTGATGAAAATGTTTGTAATTTTCTTGAAAGTGGATCATTAATTGGTGGAAATGATTATCGTTTAATATATCGACATTATGCAACATTATATTTTATATTTTGTGTTGATAGTTCAGAAAGTGAATTAGGTATACTGGATTTAATACAAGTTTTTGTTGAAACACTTGATAAATGTTTCGAAGTAAATATTTTCTTTTTGTTTTTCTCGACATTTAATTTGAATTTATTTCTTTTATCATTTTTAAAAATTTTTCTTTAGAATGTTTGTGAACTTGATCTCATTTTTCATGTAGATAAAGTTCATTATATTTTACAAGAATTATGTCTTGGTGGTATGGTATTAGAAACAAATATGAATGAAATTATTGCACGAATTGATGAACAATCAAAATTAGAAAAACAAGAAGCTGGAATTACAGCAGCACCAACAAAAGCAATGACGGCATTAAAAGAAATGAATTTACCACAAAAAATCAAAGATATTAAATTACCTGATCTTAATCTTAATTTACGTTTCTAATTATTGTTATCGTTCATATATTGTATGCGTATTTTATGTAAACAAAAAATCAAAATATAAAACCATTTCTTGCAGACTTTTAATATCTAATGAATAGTATTATCGATAGATCTTTTTATATTTTGATTTTATTTCAGAAATAAAAATTAAATCAAACAAATAGTCAAATCAAATTTTAGTTATCACACATTTTTTTTCCAAAAATCAAAGTATGAAAATAAGTTCTTGTTTATTATAATATACAATCCAAAAGTCTCGGAAAAAATGTCAAACTCTGTTAGACCATATTGATAATTTCTAAACCAATCAAATTCGTTTTTGTTGCAAAGAGCAAAGTCTGAACTACAAATGTTATCTCACACTTGTTTTTCCAGAATAAATCCACGAGGTAAAAAGCCAGACACTTCTAAAAAAAAAAGTTCTGGCAACGTTTTTGCAACTTGAACAGTTTCTATTTCTCAATTATCTTGAGCTACATGGATTGAATTCTGACAAAAAAACTATATCAATATATAATACAACAAAAGTTGCATTAATATAAGCATTCTTACCTTTTTTCTTAAGATCCGTTCTTGACTCTTTAATTAAAAGGTGGGAAATCGAAACTTTTGAAAAATTGAGTTTTTTTGCAGCAATTATCAATTTGAAAGGAGATAAACTACAACCTTCATAAACTATGTATGCACTGTTTTCTTGCTGTGTTATTTGTTCGAAATACGTCATGTCCTAGATACTTAGCAGAAAAAAAGAATTCGAAAAAACTTCTTTTATTATCACAAAACGATAAGGTAGTCGGACAGACCGAAATATTCAGTGACATCCAGAAACAGCTATATTTTGCTAAAAAAAAGCAAGACTAAATTTAACTTTCAATAGATCATTCGAAAGAACACTCTTTATGCTACAAAAATCATCGTTAAGTATGGGTTTTCATTTCGCATTTGATATAAAAAAAATGAGCAGAAAATAGAAAATGATATTGCACGGAAGTAAAGTTACAAGAGCTTTTTTAAGTGTTTATTTTTTGACTTCTCTTATGTTGTATCATTGTTCTGGAAAAACAAGTCTGTTACAACATTTGTAGTTTGGACTTTGCTCTTTCCAACAATAAAAATTTGATTGGTTTAGAAGTTATCAATATGGTCGAACAGAGTTTGACATTTTTTCCAAGACTTTTCCATTGCATATTATGTATACTAACATTTCCACTCGGTGATATTGATACACAGGATATATAAAGAGATTATAATATTATTTCATAATACAGACAATTATTAAATTAAACGTAATAATTGACATGAAAAATGAAGATTAAATAATTAGTATCTGCTAAAATTAAATATATATTTGAATTCAACCTGTTAAAATAGAGAATCAAATTTGTCAGTATTGATCATATATAAATAATTTCTTGTATGTCAACATTTTCTTCATTATTGATTTGTTATTCCTTGTAAAAAGTCCTGATAAAATTATGCATCAAAGAAAATTGAAATAAATTGTATGTTTTTTCGCTCTGCTAGTGATAGGAATCTTTTCATACATGAAGTATTGGCAAATGTTAAAATTTTTGGTATAACTAAAACTAATAGATACGCATCATATGAGAATCAAATGCCAATCCAAGGTTTTTTTCAAAAAATCCTTTTGCTTGTAATCAAGAAATATTATTAACACATAAAGAATAGAGTTCAATTTATTGAAATTTCAATAATATTCGAACCAATCTAATAGTTAAATTACTGAATAAATAATTATCATGACAAGATAATCAAAGCTTGAAAGTAAAATATATTGAAATAAATTCTGATTCAAGTCATTTAAAAATGATTTGTCATCTGCAGATACTACTAGTTTTTATGATGAAAGCTTCAAAACAATCTTCATTAATGAATAATAGCTCTGATAGTAAAATATTGAGATAAATCAAGTTGACAAACTAGTTTATTTGACACTTAATCAGTAAATAATAAAGGTATTTTCTCAAGTTTTTCATCGTAATATTTCACAACAACCAGTAAATAATAGCGTTAGTTATTTTGATATTAGAACAATTAATAATTAGCAAGAAAAACTAGTATCCGTTTTCTGTTTTGATGGATCAAAAGATTCATCTTGTAAAGCAAAATCGAATTAGAGTAGTGAATCTACTTAAAATATGTTATATCATTGATAACGTAATATTGAACGTAAAAAATTGTTCACAATACCAAATTGATTTGAAAAGTTATCAAAATTTCTTTAAAAAAACTTTCTTCAACACTTAGTAATCATGCTTGAAAGGTAACCGCTTTTGATTTTAAAAAATTAGTTAATGCGGATAGTTTTTTCATGTCTCATGTTGACAATGCATTTGAAGATTATGGATATGATTGAGAGTGCGCGCTTCCTCGTCACTCACAACAACACCTGCATTGATACACATCGACTTCGCCATATTTGCTTTTCGATATTTTTCTTTCGACTTTTCTATAGCTAACCGATGCAATTCATGATGTAGCTAGTTGAGTTCATTAATGAAACCGTTGTTGTAGTATTAATCTTTGTATGATACAAGTCAGGAAAAAAGACCATTCATTTAAAAAGAATCTTTATATTTGTTTTCAAGAATTAATATTGATCAAACAACGTGATGTACAACTTCTACTATTGATAAAGCTCTCGTTACAGATAGTAACAATAGTGAAACAGATATTTACCTTCATTTTCTTATTACAAAAACTTTAATGTATATATATAATGGTTTTAAAAGATCTATGTCGTTTTGATAATGAAAATTTTAATTATCATCTGTATGACGAAACACTTATTGAAAAAATAGCAATTTCATCATTAGAACCATTTAAAAATATGTAACGATCAATTGCATATTACTGAATCTCATTTAGTTTGTCTTATGTTTCTTGATTTATCAATATCATCAAATATTTATTTTATCTCGAATATTGCTCATCATGAAACAGTGTCTGCCTATCGATTGAAAAAAAAATGATAATAAATGAATATTTAATCTATTCATTTCTAAATAGTTCACTTTACTATATATCGACAATTAAAATCTAAAAGTATAAATGACTGTTAAATACCATTAGTCATGGTTGTTTATTAAACAAGTATATCAACATACATTGCTAAGATAACACAAACAAATTTTTTTTTGTTTGGCTATGTATTTTCTGATGCTGATAACTGTGTTTTTGTCTCACATTATGTTTATATAACCTTTTAGATAGTAAATTATTGTTCAAATTGAAATCAATTTTAGGAATCTTTTTTCGATATTTTTGTTTTGTATAAAATTAAAAATTTATGACCTCATGGCTTCAGCAAAAGAAGCAAAAAAAACTGATACTTGGTCAATAGTCAAATATTTGTTTTATCTGTTTTTCACATAAAAAATTCTAATTTGATTATCAGAATCATTTTATCAGAAATGGACTTATATGTTCAAGAAAAATTCATTACAAACTATACAAAAATGTCGTATTAAATTTATCTTTGTGCTATTTGATATATATTTATACATGTGATTCGAATTTTAGCCAGTTTATTTTTGAAATTGTTTATATAATTATTGATTTATCGATGACGATTATTGAAGACAGAGAAAAAAAGGAACATTCGCCCACTCTCTCAAAATATTTAATGATCAAATATGTGCCAGATCATCATGTCCTTCAGAATCCGATCCTGATATAACTTGTCGTCGATCATTTCGTGCACCTTTGCCTGTCTCTTTTCTACTTCCTAATAAGTTTCCAGCATTCAAATTTCCAGTTTTTTTGGGCATTCTGTTTGGATTATAATATTCATTGCCATCTTCTTCGTCATCATTTGATTCTTCTTCTGATGGACTATCACGATTTCCTGTCCGGCCATTTGTATTTCTTGGTAATCCATTTTCTTCATCGTCTGATTCTTCTTCATTATAACGTTCATCGAATACGACATCATCTAATCCATCAGTATTATTTGTTGATGTTTCAGTTATATTGATATTGTCGGGAATTTCATGCATACGTTTTAATTCACGAGCTTCATCAGCTAAGCGGAACAAAAAAAGTTTAATATTTAATTATTTGTTTTATTTACTAAAATAAATATCTTACCGAGATATCTCATAATAACATCAGCTTTATCATCTTGATAATCTCGTAATCCAACAAGAATAACATCTCCTTGATTGATCCATTGTTTTTTACGTAATTTACCACGAATGTGACATAAACGTTTTTTTCCACCTGAATTATCGAAACAGAACGCTTCTAAGTGACCATTACCCAAAATACGTGTAACTTGAGCATAAGATTGACCTTCTTCTTTGAGTATTAATTCCCGTTTAACATCATCATTTTCATTCTTACCACGACGACGATTTTTACCACCTTTTCCTTTATTTTTTGGCATTGTCCTTTTTCGAAGATTTACACTAAATGTGTGATGTTGAGTTCAAAAAACAATCTGTATTTATATAAAAAATACGATAAGAAGCTTGGAATCTAAAAGACGAAGAAATAAAATGACGCAAGAATTTTTCTTTATTATGAGCCATTCATGAATAAAAGAAAAAAACAATCAACAAACTATCTGGGCGGTTGGCTTTTACAACCAATTAGTTAGAGATCATCAATAGATGTAGACACTTGTCAATAAATAGTTCTTAGTCGATATCACAATGATTTTCATGATATCAAAATGTTTTTTTTTCATCTTTACTTATCAGATTCTATGATATCATTCAGATGTCACGATAAAGTTTTATCAAAACTATTAGAATTTAGAAAGAATCAAGTAAATCTAAATTCAATAACAATACCTACTCATTTATAATTAATTGGATTTTCTCGTTATCAAGTAATACATAAGGCATCATGAATCGTTTCTTTACTCATACCATCCATTTTACTCAAACAAGCAGAGCTTTTTTGAGCAAGATATCAGCAAAGATTATATTTAATAATAACATTGGTATTGACTTAAACAGACGAAAGACTTTGGCTATGTATATATTCATTGATAAATCGACGATTTTTTAAGCTTCAAACACTAAAGTAGTTTTCTTATGAGTGTTAAAACAAAAGAAATCTTATTGTATGGTTCTAATGATGGTAAAGTCAATAATCGAATTTGATTCCGCTATTTCTTATACGCCTTTCTGTTGACTTGAATGAGTATAAGAAAGAGCTCAAAAGTAAAAAAAGAAATATTTGTCAACAAAGACAAACGGGCAAGAGTTTTTATATAAAGATATGAAAATATGTTAACTATTTAATTGTAACAATAAGTTTGAACTGTGTTCCTTTTCAAGAAATATTTCTATAGACTTAGTTATAATCGCACCTGGTTGAAACGTATCTGTCTCGTAGTAGATAACAGATATCAACCAGGAAATATAATAGTTATTCGACGATAATGATCCTATTCTCGTTTATTGTAAAATTTAAAATGTTTTCTTGAATACTATCTCTCCTCGTTTTGAATCAATATCGATGGGTTGCTCATCAAAAAATATCTGTCTTTGAAAACATGAGTCAATAAATGGATGTATCATATTACAACTGACATGATATGCACCTTAGCATGATAGTTTACGCCAAGCCACATCATTATACATTATATTATTTGTTGTAGAGCATTTACAAGTAATGTAAATATGATCAGAAATATCGTTTCGTCGATCAACATAGTGCCGTAACCATCAGATGGTGAATGATAGGGCAGTGCTCTATGATCTTGCATGAAATTCATGCAAAATAGTATCGATGATCGTAATTATTACGTTTTTCTTTCTCCTAGTGATAGAGCGGCATCCAATCTAGCTCATTCTTGGTTACGCGATTAGATTAAAAGAATGGTTTTCTAGATACATGTCAACATGAAAAAGATCAATTGATTTTTTTCTAGTAAAAATATAAACTATAACCATTATATCAAGTATATGTATAAGGAAAACATCATAATGAAAACGTGATCAATTAGGATGTGGGTGTGTATGTTCTCTTTCTCAAAACTCATCAGTCAACATCAACACCCACACGTACATCCACAAAGTGTTCCTAAAAACTCTTTGTGAATAGAAATACGCCTGCTTTCTATAGTCATATTTTCTGGATATGTAGGACTCCCATTTATGCAACCAATTAAATCAAGTACTATGAACTTTTCTCTAAATTACAAATTATTCTATTGGATGAGAACTTCAAATGAAAGAATTGGATTCTCAACAAAAGTTCAAGAACTTTCTCCGATTCGCAAATTAAATAAAATCATTTTCACATTTATATATGAAACATTTTCAGAATTATTTGTCTTCTAATACCATTTTATTGGAATTTTGTTTACAGTTTCGAGTTTCGTACTTGATATTTTTTCTGTTTTTCTACAATGATTAAAAATAACTTTCACATTAGGATAGATACAGAACCAATATCTGTTGTTCGAAATCTTGTGTATTGTCAATGATAAAAAAGTAAGAATGAGAGAAGTGGATAAAGGAAGATCTACACCCACATCTTGTATAGTTACTTTAACAAATTTGCTTGATCGTTGCATTCGTCGTATTACACTTGTTTCAGTTCTCTGTATAAGAAAAAAAATTGCACAACAATGATGAAGGTTGATAACACATTGCCAATAAACACATAAATATAAAGAAATATCAATCTCAACAGATATTCATTGTAACAAAGCATACTGTTGAAAAACAAACAGCAATAATGTCTTATGAAGCTCTTGTGCCTCTTTTGGCATTACCTGTTGAGCTTGTCTATTGTATTCTGAACAATCTAGCTGAATTCATAATTTTATGTTCAGTTCGCAGTGTGATTACACGATTGAATACGATCACTGATATACATCATCGATATCACGTAAAATCATCACGCAGTTATATCAGCAGATTTTGGAGAATTAATTATACAGACAAATAGAGGAGAAATTTCACTATATAGTTTGTGAAGAAATGTCTTTTAGAAAATTGAGAACTAAAAAAGATGTATACGTTAGAAAAAACATGTTTGTTTCATTATAAGGTGACAGAAATGCAAAATTCAAGTGAATTTTATTTTTCGTTCTATTATGTATGATTTGACATAAGTCCATCGTTTTTTCTAGAAAAAACTGTCAATTTTCAATTACATGTATTTTACAAACTTTTTGAAAATATTATATTCCGAGTCATAATGATAAACTGACGAGGGAAGGTAACGGACTGTTAAGTCACTTTTCATTCGAAACTATGCGCACCGTGTAGTCTCTAGCGAGATATCAATATTCTGAAAAGAGTTCGGGCTAATAGCTTATTGATGCTGAGATACTGCATTTTTACGGTATTTTTTAATAGAATGCCGTGATCCCCCTCAGAAGCACTAGAAAAATTGATTTTCGAATATCGACTTCAAACTTTGCATAGAGATAGGCCGTAACAAGAATAATTTATTGTGAAAGTTTGAAATCTTTTCGTTGTCCTTATCCTAAGGTACGCCTATAGTAAAAGCTGTCTTTTACATCGCTCATGTACACGGGCAGATTCGATGTTCATATTTCAGGACAGGAATTAATGAAAAGGTCTAACACTCTCACAATAGACTATTTTCGTTAAGGCCTATCTCTGTACAAACTTTGAAGTCGACATTCGAAAATCAGTTTTTCTAGTGTTCCTGAGGGAGACCACGGCATTCTATTAAAAAAGTACTGTAAAAATGCAGTATCTCAGCATCAATAAGCTATTAGCCCAAACACTTTTCTGGGTATGCATACCCCATTAGAGACTACATGATGCGCATAGTTTCGAATGAAAATTGATTTAACAGTTCGTTGCCTTCCCTTGTCAGTTGATCATTGTGACTCGAAATATAATATTTCCAAAAAGTTTCTAAAATAAATGTAATCGGAAATCGACAGTTTTCCTTAGGAAAAGCGAATTCGTGGATACAAATACTATATTTTAATCATTGCATGTGTTTAAGGGTTTTTCTAGTTAAAAAGTGATCGAATCGCAATAAAAAACATATCTTGGCGACCAACTATTGAAGTTCTATCAAATCATATATAATAGAACAGAAAATAAAATTCACTCGAATTTTGCATTTTCCGCATCTTACCTCTCCCTAATCTGAGTTTATTACATTCTTTTCCATATCAAGACTCATGAATAGAGAAAATATTCCATATAAAATGACTTTAAAAATTAATTATTTATCAGTTATACCATTTTCTTAAGTTTTTTCTTACATAGTAAATTAAATCAATACGAAACACTTTGCTGCAACAGAAATTAGCACGTAACAAGAATTGATTTTGGTATTAACTTTTAAAATGCATATCGAATGATAAGATAAAACTGAATAAGTTGGATCCAATAGTCGGAAATGGAAAATAAAATTTCTCTGTAGGAGCTTTACGTGACATCCTCTTTAGGTACAATGTATCCAGAAGCTGTTTAAAACAGTGATGAGCTCACGCGGAGTGTATTTCCATGATAAAGTGAGTTTCAAACATTACAGACTAATTTTCATTAAATATTCAGAAAACGTTCGCAAAGAAAATAAATATTTTATCAGTTGAGGTTACTTCTTTTTTCTATGAATAATATGAACGTTCAGCTACAGAAACAGCTAATTATTTATTATCCTTCATTCATTCAAAGCTAAGCTTTCATTTGAACAAAGACTATTATCGGAATTTTAAACGAAGACCATAGGGGCAAGATGCTTATAACTTTTTAACGAAGATAGTTACAGCACTGTGACTTTCATCCATCGAAAGAAGAGACATGGGGACGTCTTTTTCTCCAATATTGTATAAGACGAAGTCGTTTTAAAATCAGTCATTTCTGTAAGGCATTGCAAAAAATGTGTAAAAATCGGTCTGTCATTCAGACGAAATTTTGACAAAAAGTAAAATATTTGCTTAAAAATTAAAAGAAATACATAGTTTTCGTGCGAGTAAACAGACGATTTTATTTGCTCAACATTAGAATGTGAGACGATAATCATTTGAATTATATCTTAAACTATAGATCTGAAGTTCCTCTCTCTAGATCACATATCAAAACGAATGTTTCATCGGAATGGCAGATCGTTTTCATGCATTTTATGTAATGTTTTGCAGAAATGACTGATTCTAAAGCGATTTCGTACTACACAATATTGGAGAAAAAGATGTTCCCATGCCCCTTCTTTCGATTGACAACAACCACAGGGCTTTAGCTATCTTCGTTAAAAAATTATAAACATTTTGCTCAATGGCCTTCTTTTAAAATTCCGATAATAGTTCGGTTAGATGTCTTCTATTTTTATGCATTTTCGTCGTTCAAGAACAATTAGATACTATCATATCATTTTTAACATTTTATAGACATTGAATAGTTTTTTTATGTTATTAAATGAAAAATTAATTATAGAGTTACACAGCTAAGCTATATCTGTTAATTCGACAATAACAACACGAATATTTATTACACCACAACATCGATTTGAATACATTAGTTTTTGTTATTGCTAGATAAATGAATGGATTTAAAATCATTGCAGTTTTGGCAATAAATGCACATACTGTCATTAATACTGATTGTTGACTGATATACTTTAAATTAAATAAATAAAATAAAGCTACAATGGCGTATGGTGTCCAACTAAGTAAATATTCACTGACTAAAAATATTGTTGCTAAAGCAAAACGTCGATCAGCTTTTAAACGATTTAATTGCATGAGATAATTCATTTGAAAGGTACGTGTTTGACGAATAGCTAATCGAGAACTTACATTCATTGAATTAGCTGGTACAATAAAACCAAGTTTTTCGTGTTTTATTGTTGAATCACTATTTGACGATGAATTATACGAAGTTGGTTGATGTTTCTGATAAGATACATTTAATGAAATATATGATTTTGACGCTCTTGTTGTACGATAAAATAACGATCGAATTTTACAATAAGCAAATATATTAATAATTAATAACGCAACTAATGGAATAAAATAAATAAATACAAAAGCTAAAATAAAATAAATACGTGAACTAAGTGATCGATCAAACCAATTTAATCCGCAATGAAAACCAATTCCTTCAGGTGTATATTTATTCCAATTAAATAATGGTGGTAATGCAAAAATAAGACCAAATAACCAACAAACAATAACTGTCCAATATGAATGTTGACCAGTAAATCGGTTTTGTGGATTCGTTTCAAGAATTGTAGCATAACGAATAATTGATATCATCATTAACGTAAACATATGAACACAACCATTTAAATATGAGACAAAACCTTCAAGTTGACAATAAAATGGTGAACACAGTCGATGACAAGATAAACATTGGATGAATATTGATGGTACTATCACAATAATTAATGATGTTGATGATAAAACCATTGATAATACCAAGGAATAATGACGAAACCGAAGATGCCGATGATATAATGACCAATAAATGAAACGAATATTAAATATTAGTGAAATCATTGCTATAAATATTATAATTGATCCTATTATACGAATAATTAAGCATTCGAAATTATTTATATCATAAATGAAACTATTAAAACATAATGTCACATTTGAAGCCATTATCTAAAAAATTGCAACAAATACAAAAGACGTCTATTCATATATATATATATATATGGATTTTCTTTTACGAACAACAACTTAACTTTTCTCTATTATTTTTCTTCCAATAACATAATAGTAGCCCATGGGAAGAAACGATGAAAAAAATGGGTAAGAACGCATTGCTAAGACAGTTTTAGCGCTCTTTTGAAACGCAGTTTCAGTACTAAAAACGCATTCTGATGTACTAAGAATAGTTGTTGAGTGGTAAAAACGTGTTTTAGAAGAATGCTACAAGCGTCTTAACAACACATATGAAAGGGACGCGTTTGTCGCAATAAGAAAGAGTGCTTGTTTTGAAGAAAAAAGAATCGAACTTCAAATCTATAGGGTCTCTGAATGTGTCCCTTCTATAGTCCGTCTCCGCTCTCAGGCAATTCGCTTCTTTCCCAGTCAATTTTTCGTTCCCGCTCCACACGTTATTGTGCCAATGAATCGCAGTTTAATATTTCAGGAATGTATTCCAACTAATTTACTTGTTGCTTTGGTGTACATTCGGTCAGAGAAACTTATAACTAAGAAGCATTCAACATACTATTAGACTAGATGAACGTATTTCTTGAAAGTTAAATTTTCTACTTATATTAAACGAAACTGATGTGAATATGTTGATACATTATTATAGGTCTTTGTACTAATAGTAGAAGTCGATACCGATTTTTAGTTCGAATAAAAATGTGACTTGTAAATTCATAACGAACACTTTACTAGAAAGTTTTACGAAATAAAATTCCTATAATTCCCACAATCATAATTCAAATTCGAATTCAAACGGACATATTTCTATAAATATCGTTAAACTTGAAAATGAAATTTATTTATTGGAGCATTTTTCAATTATTGTGGCAAGATAGACGAGCCGAGTTCAATATAAAATTGTCTGAGTGTCCACTGTATTAGTATGTAGTAAAGAGATTACTGGTTTGTAGTAAAATACATATTCGAATAGACATTGGAGTCATCATAATTATAATTAGAGAAAAATATTTTAGTAACATTTTACAGTTCAGTGTCTCTTGAATTTTTTTCATTGATTTTCGGATTGATGTTAGACTTTTGAATCTTCATTTATTTGCGAACTCGAATTAGCCATCAAATGTAAAGCAAACTTCAATAAATATGAAATATCTGACATCCTCAATACTTAGTCTAATTTTGAGATGACTAAAATATTTTTTATAACGATAAAATATTCAACGTCGTTCTAGCAGTCTAATTGACTTCTTAAAAATATTAAATCTTGCACAATAGATAAGATTTATTGTCTCGCTGCCCAGGACAAGAAACTCATAGAAAGAAACGGACAGGAACACGTTTTCGAAAGAAATGTGCCGTATCTTATTGACTAACAGCGTGTTCTGAAAAAACATTGAAGCGTTCAAATGCGTACTTAACAATGTACAACGCGTTGTTTTATCATGACGAACACGGCAATAGTGAACGAGTTTCACACTAACAGAATGTGGATATGGATGGGTGTGGGATTATGCGCGTAATCGAAGAGAAAAATTCACAGTTAGAGTCACATCCAACATGTACTCCTGCACCCACACCCAAAATTGATCGAAAGTTCTGCGATTACTATTTTATGAAATAAAAAGGAATTTGAGACTAGCGTGTATATGCCCCAGGGACTTAAAATATCAAAAATATATCATGACTTTCATGAGTTTTATATTAAAAATACGAAAAAAATGGCATTTCGGATGATGAAACGGACATTAGTTTTGATGTATTTCAAATTCATTGATTAAAAGAAACATTTTAACGAAGCAACTAGAATTATTTTGATTTTTATTCGAAATCACCAAATTACACTGATGAAAATGGCCATATTAATACATACATTTGAAATACATCAAAATTAATGTCTCTTTCATCATTTTAATACAGTTTTTTTTATTTTTTAAGTCTCTGGGTATGATCAAAAATTCTCTCTAAGACAGGAAAAAAACATTTATGACGACTATCTTGGAATATTATTGTTTGAAGTAATCAGGCGCCATCTTTTTGTGTGACACAACCGAAAAACAAATTCCCTCATATTGGAAGACTCAAACTTCTCAATTGACATTGCATTTATTTAACACACGTTGTAACACATACTAAGAAGTGAATTCCATTCGATTATAAACGTGTTCTTTTTTCAAATATTTCGACGTGTTCTTGTGATGTAAATTTTTCAACAAAAGGTACGAATTATTCTTGAACAAACTAAAACGACTCTATTAAGAGCGCGTTGCACTCGACATGAAAGTCGCTCACTATTAACGTGTCCGTCATGATAAAAAACACGTTACCTTATTGGCAAGTACGCGTTTGAATGCTTCAAGTTTTTTTAATACTGTGTTCTTAGTCAATTAAAAGTGTTACATTTTTTCGACAACGCGTTCTTTGTAGGTGAATCACTTTTGCGCGCCGTTCATAGGAACGAGAACGCAAAGTGCGTTCCTGTTTCCTGAAATGGAGAAGGCATAACATTCTCGTATAAAAAGATAAGAAAAAAAATATAAAAACCTTGGCATATTGAAATAATGTAAGAAAACACAATATGAGATGCATTCCCGTTCTTTGGGAACGAAATGCTCAAGAATGGAAACATTGACACCTCTACTTCTTAGTTATTCCTTTCTCAGAATTTTTTCCCATGAAAAGCATTAGAAAAATGTTATTATCAACGAAATATACTTATATTCTTAACTGGTCAATTTGAAAAGATGTACGCACTCATACACATGAATGGCAAGCAAAAGAAATGAGATAAATATCATATATTATGAGTTTCTACTGAGTAACAGATCCTGATGTTTATATAAACAAAAACATTGTTTCTATATAAAATACTCCTATGGATTATTAATCTATGGTTATTCAGAATGTATTAATTTCTTCCTAACGAATATGAGTTCGATCTGAGAAAATAATTGATGCCAATAAAGAGTTTTCGTGAATAAGCATATAATGCACTTAGTATAAAATAAAATCTGTTATTTCTTTTTTATAAACTGTAAGAAAAGTAAATGGCACAATGAATGTCAAAAATTTATATTTTACCTCTTTGATTAATTCTTTTTTAATTAAGGATTATTTTTTTTTGTGACTTCTGTACGTTTTCCCATTCAGTTATTTTAGATATGATGACATTCTACAATCTGTCTTATTTTCTAGTGTTCAAAATTTCTTTTAAATTTCTTTCTTGTTATTGCTTCAATATAATGCTATATATTTAAGTTAAGTTTGCCTTAACATTTTTTCATAAAACTCTATTTTGTTTTAAATTGATACTCTCCCAAATATGCTCAATACAAAGCATAATTGGATAAAATGGTGTCTCTAAGAATTGTATAATGAGCTTAAAGATTCAGAAGAATTCTATGTTTCGACAGTGGTGAATCTAGAATTTTGGTAATACAGAGAAGAGAAGCTATCACGATCCAAAAAGGTATTGTGAATCCCATTACAGGTAATATCGACTCATTTGTGAGTATTTTTTATCGAAAGAAAAAGAAAATTATTTGAAATGTGAAAGGAAAACATGTTCATCGCTCTCCAACGCAACTGGATATATTTATCATCGACATCAGAAAAGCATAGAATTAGTTCATACTTCGATAAGTTATGATACATAGCAAATCGACAGCGTTTCTGTCTACAATTCACTCACGTACAGGAAAAAATAAGACTATTCTCATTGTATGATAAATTGAAAAGATCAACCCATGTAATCTATGAAAAAGACTTGTCTTTTTCTATTTTTAGTTGCTTTTGATTATACTCAGAATAATTTTACTGAAAGACTTGATTATTAAGAAAGATTATTAACAATGGTATAATATTAAGTTTGAGGTTATAAAATACTTTATCCTTACTTATCATTAGTTTCTGTTTTAAATGTAATCTTATTAAAGTTTTATGTTGTAAACTATTTGAATAGTGCTCTTTTACTAGGAGGATAAAGTATGTTAATCAAATAGGTATTGAAGATGTTTCATAAGTCTTGAGACGTCATGAAATTAGTTTAAATGCAAATAGGAAATAATTCCTAATCAAATATTTTTATTTGAGCCTTGGGTACTCATGTCAATCTTTCAAATGACATACTATTGGATATTATCTTCTCTTGTAATAATGAAAATGTAAACATGAGTATGTGAGGATAAATTTTTCTTAATTGATCAACGTGATTTTTCTTAAGGTTTTTTAAAAAAGTGCTGAACAATTCTACATACAACATAGTGTAGTAGAAATCAATCATTTTTTATCTTATTCACTAATTTCACGTTCATCACAATTCACTGATTACATGTTCAGTCAAGCTATGTACTCAGTAATGGGGATTGAATTGGATAAAATATATGAAAATTTAGCGTATAGAATTAAATACAAAGAACAAAGAATGTATTTCGAACTAATGATGAACTGTTTAATAATCTAATTTTACCTGAAGAAAGTGAAGATAAAGTTGCTGACGTACGATCTACTGAAAGTGTATGGAGAATATTAAAGAAAACAGTACTAGAACATTTTTCAAGCTTTAAACCAGCTAAAACTAGATTGAACCCAACATGAAAAAAAAATAACTTGTAATGATTGTCCAAAAATGATTGATAAAATTTCTAAAAACCTCAGTAAATTAATAAAAAGTGATGGACAACAAATATGTAATAGTTAAATGAGATTTTTGTATAATCAGATTAATATGCGCATTTATAAAATAATGCTTTTTCGTTTTTTCTAATAAAATATCTTGTTGACCAATTGTGAAAAACTTATCGTCACATTCTTATGTTTATATTTTTATTATTACAAGAGAAGATATTATCCTATAATATGTTACTTGAAAGACCGACACGAGTACTCAAGGCTCTTATCAAAACATTCTATTAAGGGTTATATTCTATCTGCATATAAAGTGATTTTGTGGAGCCTCACAAATTATGAAACATCCTGTAAGTACC